TTAGGACCATAACTTTAGAACACAAACTATTATAGAATACTTCTTAGAGCTACAAAAAGAGTTGACTCATTCAGAATTAAGGTTTAAATAAATTTCATGTTCTAAATCTGATATAAAATATGAAATGGGAAATTCCTTTATCTGTTTTCAAGTATTCTAGGCCCGGAGCAGTAACTCACACCTGTAATCCCAATACTTTGGGAGGCCGAGGTGGGCATATCACTCAAGGTCAAGTGTTCAAGACCAGCCTAGCCAACACGGTAAAACTCTGTCTCTATGAAAAATGAAAAGTTAGCTGGGTGTGGTGGTGCATGCCTGTAGTGCCAGCTACTCAGGAGGCTGAGGCAGGAGAATCGCTTGAGCCCAGGAGGTGGAGGCTGCAGTGAGCTGAGAGCACATCACTGTACCCCAGCCTGGGTGACAGAAGGAGACTCTGTCTCTAAATAAATAAATAAATAAAAATAAAAATGTATTCTAAACTTATTTAAGTATCCTCAAGCTGTTAAATTTTATCAACCCGTACCGACAAAGGATGGCTGAATGTCTATCAGAAAAGTTGTTTCACTAATTTCTTTGGAGGCTTTCCTTTAGTACATTATTAAAAGTAAAAATCAATCTTAAATATAAGAATTATCAGAAACAAATTTGTATTGCTTGCATTACAGCATTTATAACCAAACACAACATCTAAGTTCCCTTTGGTAGCTATTTGGAGTAAGGCAACATTATCTCAAAATGGTGACTGAATGTTGATAAAATAAAACAGCATTTTATTTAATCCCCATAACCCTTACATCTCTCCATGTATTTACATACATACCCAAGTGTATATATATGTTTTTGTGTGTTTGTATGAAAGTGTGTGTGTGTGTGTGTGTGTGTGCATGCAACTTTTCTGCTTCTCTTACAACACAAAGCAGATAGCAGTGGTGACATTCCTCAGCCTTGTGAAGCTACAATGGTACATGACCAAGTTCAATATAAACTGATTTTATTTATTTATTTATTATTTATTTAGTGACGGGGTCTCACTCTCACTCTGTCACTCAGGCTGGAGAGTAGTGGTACAATCACAGCTCACTGCAGCTTCAATCTCCTGGACACAGGGATCCTCACCCTCCCGAGTAGCTTGGATTACAGGCATGTAGTACCACATCTGGCTGATTTTCACATTTTTTGTAGAGATGGGGTCTCACCATGTTGACCAAGCTGGTCTCAAACTCCTGGGGCTCAAGTAATCTGCCTCCCTCAACCTCTCTAAGTGCTGGTAATACAGGTGTGAGCCACTGTGCCCAGCCATAAATGAATTATTGATTATAGATTTTAGCAGATTATTACTCCTTATTTACTAGCTAGAATGACAAAAGGAAATCAGTGCATAGTTATGCATAGCTTAATGAGGGGAATACATTCTGAGAAATGTGCCATTAGGCTATTCATTGTGTGAACATGATAGAGTGTACTGACACAAACCTAGATGGTGTAGCCTGCTATATACCTAGGCTATATGGTATAGCCTATTGGTTCTAGGCTATAAATCTGTACAGTGTGTTACTATACTGAACACAATGATAAGTATTATATTTGTGTAACTAAACATATCTAAATATAGAAAGGGTACCTTTAAAATACAATATTATCATCTTATGGGACCACTATCCTATATGTAATCCATCAGTGACTGAAATGTCATTATGGTACATGATTATATTTAGTATCCTTCAAAAGGAATTTTAGAAATTAAAAATAAATGAATAATTTCCCTTGAGATTAGGGGTTTACCTATGTTTCAGACAAAATTGCTGGGTTTTTAATACAGAGCCCAAACTATTTTGATTCTGTAAAGTATAATCAGTGCATATCCCCCTCATCTAATTTCTCATAAATGACAGGAGTGAAAATATAAGTTGGTTAGAAAAAAACAACTAGATTAGAAAAGATAAACATGTCTTCCTCTGTAGGTCTGCTGAAAACTCAACCCCAAACTAAAGAAGTGCTTGAACTAAAACTTCCTTGAAAAAAGACAGTAACATTTGCCATTAATAAATAAAACACAATAAAGAAAATACTTTATGTTTTATAATCTCTACATGCGGGGCATCTTAAAATGTATGTGCAAGAACAATTCCGTACTAAATGGTTCAGTACCGAGGCTGAGTCTAAATGTTTCCTCACAAAATGTCCTTTTGGTCTTGGAGAACAAGAAGTCATAAAAGAAAACCCAATACATCTTTATAAAATACCCAAATTCAATATTAAAAAAAAGAAATAAGCATAAATGAGATTCCACTAAAGGTATAAATTACCATCCCTTCTTCCCAGTTAATGTTTAAAAAAAGAAAACACTTTCATTGTAATCTCTTCAGAAGTTCCAAGAAAGAAAAACACAACAATGGTGTTAGGTGAGCAAACACAACATTTTTCTAAAGATATATGCCAGATCCCAACAGTCCTCATGGCTTAGATCCCACAGTGATTTATGGCCACATACGATGGGATTTCAGTCTCACAAGTAAAGCACTTGATGTTCATTTTAGGACATAAAATATTCATCTTAAAGCTTTCTGCGGGGGAACGATCCAAGATGACCGATCGATAACAGTGGGGATTGCAGCTCTCAGTCAAAGCGCAGAGAACTAAAGGACGCCACACTTTCAGACAAATTCTGGTCGCTCACGGAGCAGAAGATCCCCAGTGGAGGAAGTACACAGGTCACCAGCGCGACTCTTGTGGCTGGCGCAGCGGTTCACGGGCACCTCTGCGCGGCAGCTCTCGGAGCAGAGTAAACAGGGCCGGCTCCCCTTCTGACCGAGGTTTGGAGGACACATATGGGTCCCCAGCACAACTCCTGAGACCGGCGCAGCGGCTGTGACGGCACCTAAGCGCGGCAGCACTTGGCGTAGAGTAAACGAGACTGGTTCCCCTTCTGACTGAGGTTTGGAGCCCGGGGAAGGCAGAGTCGCCCATTACGGACACAAGAAGGAAGCCAGACAGGAGAATCCTGGGCAGAAAAGCACCATCAGTCTTAATGCTGTTCTGGCCCTGGGAACTAACAACTTGGACGTCCAATCAAGAGACCTAATCTGAAAGTTGGTAATTTCAAAGACGACAGGAGGATAAATTTACAATGATGGGAAGAAACCAGTGTAAAAAGGCTGAGAATACTCAAAATCAGAACTCCTCTCCCTCTAAAGATGATCACAGTTCCACATCAACAATGGAACAAGGCTTGACAGAGAACGAGCGCATCCCAATGACAGAATCACTCTTCAAGGAATGGATAATAAGAAACTTCTGTGAGTTAAAAGAACATGTTGTAGCCCAACATAAAGAAACTAGGAACTTTGAAAAAAGGTTTGACGAAATCCTATTGTGAATAGACAACTTAGAGAGGAAAATAAGTGAATTAATGGAACTGAAGAATACAATACAGGAACTCCAAGAAGTATGCACAGATTTAAACACTCGAGTTGTTCAAGCAGAAGAAAGGATAACAGAGGTCAAAGTCCAACTTAATGAAAGAAAACAAGAAGACAAGATTAGAGATAAAAGGATAAAAAGGAATGAGCTAAGTCTCCAAGAAATGTTGGACTATGTGAAAAGACAAAATTTACGTTTGATAGGTGTACCTGAATGCGACGGAGAGAATGAATCCAAGCTGGAAAATACCCTTCAGGAGATTATTCAGGAAAATTTTCCTGAACTAGCAAAGCAGGTCAACATTCAACCCCAGGTAATACAGAGAACAACCACAAAGATATTCCTCAAGAAGAGCAACCCCAAGGCACATAATCGTTAGATTCACCAGGGTTGAAACGAAGGAGAAAATACTAAGGGCAGCCAGAGCGAAAGGTCAGGTTACCCACAAAGGCAAGCCTACCAGACTTACAGCAGATCTCTCAGCAGAAATTCTACAAGCCAGAAGAGAGTGGGGACCAATATTCAACATCCTCAAAGAACAGAACCTTCAGCCCAAAATTTCATATCCAGCCAAACTAAGCTTCACAACTGAAGGAAAAATTAAATCTTTTATGAACAAGCAAGTACTCAGAGATTTTATTACCACCAGGCCTGCTTTACAAGAGCTTCTGAAAGAGGCATTACACACAGAAAGAAACAACCAGTATTAGCCTTACTAAAATATACCAAAAAATAAAGAGCACCAACATAAAGAAGAATTTTCATCAATGAATGGATCAAACAGCCAGTTAACATCAAATGGCAGTAACCCTAAATTTAAATCGACTAAATCCCCCAATCAAAAGACACAGCCAAAACCCAACAGCGTGTTACATCCAGACCTGTTTCACATGCAAGGATACACAAAGACTCAAAACAAAGGAATGGAGAAAGATTTACCAACCAAATGGAGAGCAAAAATAAATAAATAAATAAATAAATAAAAAGCAGGAGTTGCAATTCTCGTAGCGGATAAAATAGATTTTAAAGCAACAAAGATATAGTGGTAAAAGGATCAATACAACAACAAGAGCTAACGATCCTAACACCCAGATACATAGAGACTTAGATTCAATGAGACAGAAAATTAATAAGGATATCAAGGACTCAAACTCAGATCTGGAACAAGTAAACTTAATAAATATTTATAGAGCTCTCCACTTCAAATACATAAAATATACATTCTTGTCAATACCACATCACACCTACTCATAGGTTTAAGTGAAACATTGATTGGCCATTATTAATACCCATTTTTTTTTTCAGAATAAAGCAATATTTCCATTCACCCTCCCTCTCTCTCTTCCTCTTTCTTTCTCTCCTTTACTCATTTTCTTTTCTTTCCTTCTCTCAAAAAAAGAAATCAACTTGTAAATCTCTAGATCCAGGTCGGCAATGTCTCTCTCATTGCTTGAATTCCTTCCTTCCCTTCCCTCCCTCCCTCCCTCCCCCCCTTCCTCCCTTCCTTCCTTTATCCTTTCCTCCCTCCCTTCCTCCTTCCCTCCCTAAAAAAAAAAAAAAAAAGCTTTCTGCATGTTTTTACAATGGATTCATGTTTTATTTTTGCAAAATTTTTACTTCTGTTGGAAAAAACATTCATTACAAGCAAAGTAATTGGGTCAGTAGTTCCTATTCATTTTCTCTGGTTTTGCAGATTTCCTTTAAGGTATACTGCCTTAGTTCTCTATTACTTTGGCTTCCTCATATCCCAAAGGATATTACAATATATAATGTGGTTCAGAAAACAAGTTTATGTATGTACTGAGCTGCTGATTTTTAAAAGCAGTTTTTAGACCAAAGAAAAGTAATACAGACAAAGTGAGCAGGAGAGAGAAATTTAAATAGGGAGTGGGGGAAACAAAAGAAACCCATCTTTACTAGTTCCTGAATAAGTAATCTCAAGCACTCTACAAATTATGTCAAGTAGAAGCAATATGCCAACATATACTGAATTGTTGTAAAAATATGATACCAAGTTCTACTAACATATCAAATCCAATTATTCTGGCCACCTTTCACACAGTGGTTCTCAACCTTGAATACTGAAATCATCAGGGAGCTTTAAACAATAACAAAACCTATGTTCAATCTCCACAGATTCTTAGGTAATTGGTCTGGGGTATGGCCTAGGCATTAAAATTTTTAAAGCTCTGAAAGTGATTCTTATGTGTGACCATGGTTGAGAACTACTGCTTTAAAATGACATAAACTGAAGACAGTATTTTTGGTTGCCGTGGATACACAGATAGACATACAAACACACCAGAGTTTAACCTGGTCACCCTTCTTGGAAGCAACTTCTTGATATGCTAGGATCATTAATCCTCACAAGCTCATCCAACAACAGCAGTATGAAAACAACTTGGTGTGGGTGCCTATAGGTATTCTAAAAATTGGGAACCTGATTTAGTAAAGTACTTCATAAATAACACTGACCTAGAAGCTGGCATAAGTACTAACCAAGGATCCAATTCTCACAAAAACATTTCCTGTAGGATGTGGGCTATATATTTTACTGCTGGTCTAGGTTCTGTTATTGTTTACTTTATTCTTTATAACTTTTCTTGACTTCATATATTTGCATTAAAAAGGGTTTTATGGATTAAAGTGCAATATCAATCATTTTCATTGTGACCATTTCTTTAATACTTCATGGCTGTGTACACAGCCATGAAATCATTGCCATGCTTTTACACTTTTTTTTTGGACAAAGAGTCTCACTCCGTCACTCAGGCTAAAGTGCAGGGATCTGTTCTCACTGCAACCTCCGCCTTCCAGGCTCAAGTGATTCTTGTGCCTCAGACTCCTGGGTAGCTGGAACTACAGGCATGCACCACCACACTCAGCTAATCAGTCTCCCAAAGTGCTTGGATCACAGCAACTCGTAACCTAGAAAACTATGAGAGTATTAACAAAATAATATCATAGCTTTCTAGGAGTCTTGAAATAGACACATATGTTTTCATATTCCTGCCCATATGTTAAATATAGACAAAATGAAATAAGCACTACTGGCAGGATAAAAAATCAATAGCTGACACAAATGGCTGGTAAAACTTAGATATGCAAGTATACTTACCACACTTTTCTAATCTGTTGGGTGTGTGTGTGTATATAAAAATATCTGTCACATAACATAATGATTAAGAGAACAGACTTGAACTTTTTGGTTTTTTTTTTTTTTTTTGAGACAGAGTCTCACTGTTGCCCAGGCTGGAGTGCAATAGTGCCATATTAGCTCACAGCAACTTCTGTCTCCTGGGGTCAAGCGATTCTCCTACCTCAGCCTCCTGAGTAGATGTCCACCACCACAGCCAGCTAATTTTTGTATTTTTAGTAGAGACAGGGTTTCCCCATGTTGGCCAGGCTGGTCTTGAACTCCTGACCTCAGGTGATCTACCTACCTCAGCCTCCCAAAGTGCTGAGATTACAGATGATTACAGATGTGAGCCACCATGTTGGCAAGAGAACTGACTTTAGGATCAGACAAACTACTCAACAAGTACAAATAGCACTATTTTATAATACTGAATAAAAGGTGCCCCAAATTTTATCTATTTATTTGTTTTTGAGACAGAGTCTCCCACCTGGCTGGTGTGCAGTGGCGTGATCCCTGCTCACTGCAACCTCCACTTCCCAGGCTCAAGCGATTCTCCTGCCTCAGCCTCCTGAGTAATTGGGAATATAGGTGACTGACACCATGCCCAGCAATTTTTTTTGTTGTTGTTGTATTTTTAGTAGAAGAGATGGGGTATTACCATGTTGGCCAGGCTGCTCCTGAACTCCTGACCTCAAATGATCCACCTGCCTTGGCCTCCCAAAGTGCTGGGATTACAGACATGAACCACTATGCCCAGACAAAAAACAAAAAGTTTTAATGAATTATCTTTTTTTTTTTTTGACATGGAGTCTCACTCTTGTCTCCCAGACTGGAGTGCAGTGGCTCAATCTCGGCTCACTGCAATCTCTGCCTCTCAGGTTCAAGCGATTCTCCTGCCTCAGCCTTCCGAGTAGCTGGGATTTATAGGCACCTGCCACCACACCTGACTAATTTTTGTATTTTTAGTAGAGATGGGGTTTTACTGTGTTGGCTGGTCTCAAACTTCTGACCTCAGGTGATCCACCCACCTTGGCCTCCCAAAGTGCTGAGATTACAGGCATGAGCCACCACACCCAGCCTGAATTATCTTTTAAATTAAAATTAAAGTCAGTATAGAAATGTGAACACTGAAAAATCTAAAGAAACTAAAAAAAAAGTGTAAGAAAATCTGACAGCTCAAAATACTCTCATCATTAAGAAGAAATAAATTTCTATTGTAGGATATAATAGAAACACTTATTTGATTATTTATCTGAAAATAAATGTGATTAGCTAATTCAGTGACCTGGGTTTTCTCTTCCTTATTACCAGTTTCTTTTCTTCCCCTAAAAGACATAAGCCAGATCATTAAAAATCTGAGCGGGCAGTCTCTGGAACACAAACTAAATGACTTCAAGAAAAACCATATAAATATTGAAATTATCTGCTATAATGACTACTGAAACTGCTGGGAAAAGAAGCACTGCTCTGTACATAAGAATAAAATGAGAATTATTTGTGAGCTCAAGGACAGAGATTGCACATTTAGGGGTCTTTAGGAACAATGTATTAATGTAAATTAAGATACACTGCCTCCTATACCTGATTGATTATTAAAGATGACTGGGTGAGACTGTGTTGTTTAAACTGAATTCTTGGTCTTTATTTATTATCTCTATTAATTGTCTTGGAAATTCTGACCAAATGTCAAGGATATTGAGATCTAACCAAATGCAGCAGTGGCCAGCTTCTGAGCAATCACATTATTATTGGCCCATTCTGTTCTTCTGAGACAGCTGCCAGGACCCTGAGGCTAGTTTCTAGACTCTGTCCACAAGTAAGAGTATCCAAATTTTCAGATGATTCTACCTCTGAAAAGAGATTCTACGAAACAGTGTCTTTTCCTGTTGCTATTATTATATAAAATCAGTCTGAATATACAAGCTAACATGTAATGAAAAATATAGCTTACAAAGGAAAATTAAGTTGAACTTACCTGTCCATATTTGCCTAATTCCAGCTCTATAATGGCAACAGGCATGTGTATTTGAGCTGAGTGCCTTGACTGAGACTTGCCATCAACTCTCCAGCTCAGGCCCCGAAGCCCGCTATTCCAGCGGCTCTGGTTCATGAGGCTCTCACGGATTTTTGTCTTGTGGCTCTTCCAGAATTTAGAAATGACAGCAGCTTGGTCAGATGTGATCCCACCTTGCTTTTTGGTTTGAGCAGTCAAGTATGCCTCCAGCTGGTTGAAATCCATGTCTGCAGATGCAATAGACTATAAAGATGACAGAAAAAGCAACAAATTTGGATTTAGTAGGTAAGTAGAAAGAGATAGCTTTTTAACTAAAGATCATATTTTGAGTTCTCTTAAATCACTGAAACAGGCCAGGCACAGTGGTTCACACCTGTAAAACCAGCACTTTGAGAGGTCAAGATGAGATCACTTAAGTCAGGAGTTCAAGACCAGCCTGGCCAACATGGTAAAACCCAGTCTCTACTAAAAATACAAAAATTAGCCAGGCATGGTGGTGCATGCCCGTAATCCCAGCTACTCAGGAGACTGAGGCATGAGAATCACTTGAACTAGGAGGCAGAGGTTGCGGTGAGCCAAGATTGTGCCATGGCATTCCAGCCCAGGTGACAAAGACCCTGTCTCAAAAAAAAATCACTGAAATAAACTTTCAAAAAAGGTCACCAAGGGACACTAAGGAGGCCAAGCACGGTGACTCACACCTGTAATTCCAGCACTTTGGGAAGCTGAGGCTGGAAGATCACCTGAGGTCAGGAATTCAAGATCAGCCTGGCCAACATGGTGAAACCCCATCTCCACCAAAAATACAAAATTGGCCTGTGTGGTTACACACACACCTGTAGTCCCAGCTACTCAGGAGGCTGAGGCAGGAGAATCACTTGAATCTAAGAGGCAGACGTAGCAGTGAGCTCAGACTGTACCGCTGCACTCTAGCCTGGGTGACAGAGCAAGACTCTGCACTCAAAAAAAAAAAAAGGTGGGGGTATGGGGAGGGGGCAGACAGTAATGAGAATAAGCTCTTTATAAGTACAAAATGCTCCCTTTGGAAACATCAAATATCAGAAAAGCTACTGTTAAATATTCTGTGTCACTCAATTTTGTATCAGTAACAAGAATATAATTTGTAAATATCCAGTTGTATGGCAGGGAGATAAAATGAAAAATTTTTTTAAGTAATAAAACAAGTCAGGTATGGTGGTACATGCCTGTAGTCCTAGCTACTTGGGAAGCTGAGGCAGGAGGACAGCTGGAGCCCAGGAGTTCAAGTCTAACCTGGACAACATAGCAAGACCATGTCTGTAAAATAATAACAGTAAAAATAAAACAAAAGAATAAAATTATTTGGTTGTCTGATAAAATCTTACATAGTTTCACAGTGCCTTACAGCCAGCCTTGGTTTGATATATTTCAACTGTATAATGCCTTATCCATATGCAGCACTAAGTAAATTTTGTTAAGTGAACATATTGTCTTAGCTTTGAAGCCCATCTTCAGTCAAACAGCTCATTCACAGTAATATTACTGTGAAATTATATACCACTTTATACTTTCCCATAAAGTTTCAAAATTTAATTGCCATTGAATCTGGGTACTCTATTCTAGCATCCAAGAAGACACAGTAACTAAATATAAGCTCAAGTGTAGTAACACGCCTTAAATTTGCACAGTACTCTTTAGCATACCATAGCATTTTCACATCTACAGGCGTACTTCATTTTATTGTGCATCACTTTATTACGCTTCACAAATACTGCATTTTTTACAAATTGAAGGTATGTGGCAACCCTATACTAAGCAAGTTTACTGGTGCCATTTTTCCAACAGCATATGTTCACTCACCTTGTGTCTCTGTGTCACATTATGGGAATTCTCATATTTCAAACTTTTTCACTATTATTTATATCTGTTATGGTGATCTATGATCAGAAACCTTCGATACTACTATTTGAATTCTTTCAGGGTGCACATGAACCATGCCCATAGAGGACAGAGAAATTAAATGATAAATGTTTGTGTTCTGACCTCTCCAACCAGTGGCCATTCCATCATCTTCCCTCTCTGCAGGCCTCCCTATGAGACACAACAATATTGACATTAGGCCAATTAATAACCCTATAATGGCCTCCAAGTATTCAAGTGAGAGTAACATATATCTCATTTTAAATCAAAAGCTAGAAATGTTTAAGCTTAGTGAGGAGGCCAAGATAGGCTGAAAGGTAGGCTTCCTGTGCCAGATAGCCAAGTTGTGAATAACAAGGATAAGTTCTTTAAAGAAATTAAAAGTGCTACTCCACTGCACACACAAATGACAAGAAAGCAAAATAGAGACAGGTGCAGTAGTTCACACCTATAATCCCAGCACTTTGGGAGGCCAAGGTGGGCGGATCACTTGAGGTCAGGAGTTTTAGACTAGCCTAGCCAACATGGTAAAACCCTGTCTCTACTAAAAATACAAAAATTAGCTGGGCATGGTGGCGCATGCCTATAATCCCAGCTACTTGGAAGGCGGAGGCAGGAGAATTTCATGAACCCAGGAGGCGGAGCTTGCAGTGAGCCAAGATCACACAACTGCACTGCAGCCTTAGTCTGGGGCTTTTTGACTCCATCTCAAAAAGAGAGAAGGGGAAGGGAGAATAGGGGAAAGGAGGGGAAGGGAGGGGAAGCATAATAGCCTTATTGCTGATATGAAGAAGGTTTTGGTGGTTAGGACAGAAGATCAAACCAGCGACAACATTCCCATTAGCCAAAACCTAATCGAGGGCAAGGCCCTAACTCTCTTTAATTATATCTAGGTTGAGAGTGGTAAGAGAGCTTACAGAAGAAAAGTCTGAAGCAAGCTTAGTTCATGAGATTCAAGGAAAGAAGTTGTCTCCATTAACACAAAATAAAGCAGTAGGTGCTGATGTAGAAACTGCAGTGAGTTATCCAGAAGATCTAGCTATTTGATGAAGGTGGTTACGTTAAACAAAAAATTTTCAATATAGATGAAATAGCCATATATTGGGAAAAGATACGATTTAGAACTTTCTCTTTTTTTATGTGTGAGCTCTCACAAAATAGGACTTTCACAGCTATAGAAAAGTTAATGCCTAGCTTCAAAGGACAGGCTGACTCTCTTGTTAGGGGCTAATGCATCTGGTAACTTAAGTTGAAGCCAATGTTAATTTACCATTCAGAAAACCCTAGGGCCCTTAAAAATGTTGTTAAAACCTATTCTGCCCGTGCTCTAGAAATGGAACAACAAAGCCTAGATGACAGCACATCCATGGTTTTAAGACCACTGTGGAAACCTACTGCTCAGAAAAAAGATTCCTTTCAAAATATTACTGCTCACTGACAATGCACCTAGTCACTCAAGAGCTCTGATGGAGATGTATAAGGAGATGTTATTTTCATGCCTGCTAACACAGCATCCATTCTGCAGTCCATGGATCAAGAAGTAATTTTGACCGTCAAGTTTTTTAGTTTTTCTTTTTTTTCTGAATACATTTTGTGACCAGGTGTAATGGCTCACACCTATGATCTTAGCACTTTGGTAAGTCAAGGTGGGCAGACTGCTTGAGCCTGGGAGTTCAAGACCATTCAGGACAACATGGGGAGACCATATCTTTACAAAAAATACAAAAAAATTAGCCAGGCAGGGTGGTACTCATCTGTGGTCCCAGCTACTTAGGAGGCTGAGGTAGAAAGATCACTTTGAGCACAGGGGATCAAGGCTGAATAAGCCAAGATGGCACCACTGCACTCCTGCCTGGAGCAAGACAGGCAAGACCCTGTCTAAAAAGAAAAAAAAAAAAGAAAGAACAAAATACATTTTGTAAGGCTATAGGTGCCACAGGCAGTGATTAATAGATCCAGGAAGAATAAACTGAAAACCTTCAGGAAAGAATTCACCATTCTAGATGCCATTAAAAACATTCATAATTCATAGAAGAATGTCAAAATATCAACATTAACAGGAGTTTGGAAGAAGTTGATTCCATTCCCTCATGGATGACTTTGAGGGGTCCAAGACTTCAGTGGAAGAAGTAGATGCCTATGTGGTGAAAATAGTAAGAGAAACAGAATTAGAAGTGAAATCTGAAGATGTGATTGAATTGCTGCAATCTTATAATCAAACTTGAATGGATAAGATGTTATTCCTGGCTGGGCACAGTGGCTCACACCTGTAATGCCAGCACTTTGGGAGGCCAAGGTGGGCAGATCACGATGTCAGGAGTTCAAGACCAGCCTGGACAGCATGGTGAAATCCTGTCTCTACTAAAAATACAAAAAATTAGCTGGGCATGGTGGCGCACACCTGTAATCCCAGCTACTCAGAGGCTGAGGCAGGAAAACTGCTTGAACCTGAAGGCAGAGATTGCAGTGAGCCGAGATTGCACCATTGCACTCCAGCCTAGGTGACAAGGCGAGACTCTGTCTCAGAAAAAAAAAAAAAAAAAAAAAGAAGTTACTCCTTGTGGATGAGTAAACAAAGTAATTTTTTAAAAGATGGTATATAATCCTAGTAAAGATGCTGTGAACATTGCTGAAGTGACAACAAAGGACTTAGAACATTACAGAAACTTAGTTGATAAAGCAGCAGCAGGGTTGGAGAGAACTAGCTCCAGTTTTTAAAGAGGTCCTATTGTGGGTAAAATGCTATCAAACAGCATGGCATCCTACAGAGAAATCTTTCATGAAAGGGAGAGTCCATGGATGCAACAACCTCCTTGTTGTCTCAAGAAACTGCCACAGCCACCCCAACTTTCAGCAATCACCACTCTGATCAGTAAGCAGTCACTGACATCAAGGCAATTTGAATCCCACTTCTGACACACAAACACACGCACGCACACACACACACGTATTTAAAAAACAAAACATCAAGGCAAGACCCACCACCAGCAAAAAGAATATGACTTGCTGAAGGCTCAGATGGTCATTAGCATTTTTTAGCAATAAAATATTTGGGGTTTTTTGGTGGGCAGGGGATTGGGTCTCACTCTGTTACCCAGGCTGGAGTGCAGTGGCACAATCATAGCTCACTGCAGCCTCAAACTCCTGGGCTCAAGTGATCCTCTCACTTCAGTCTCTTGAATAGTAATAAAGTATGTCTTAATTAAGGTATGTACATTGCTTTTAAAGACACAGTGCTATTACACACTTAAAATAGTGTAGTATGGTGTGGTATGGTATAAACACAACTTTAATGTACTAAGAAACCAAAAAATTCATGTGACTTGCTTAATTGCATCCTTCCCTTAATTGTGGCTGCCTGGAACCAAACACATGTATTTCCAAAGTATGTCTGCATTACTTCACTTGACCCTCATAATCAATTTTCAAAAGCAGTGAAGTAGATAATCATATTGTAGTTCTCTTTATTCTCAATTTATAGAAAAGGAGACTGAAGCTTCAAGCAGCCAAGTGACTGTTCTGAAAGCTCTGTGAGATAAGTGCAGGCCCAAAGCCTCAACTGTTAAGCCAGGTTTCCCTCTGATTAGTTGTCACAGGTGACTACATAGAGAAATAGATTCGGTATCACTGAAAAAAATGGAAACTGGTACATTCTACCAACAATGATACAGAGATGCCAATACCTAACGAGGAGCCTTCAGAGATCCTGAGACATCAAACAATGATTGGAAGAGTGGTACCACAAATTTTTTACTTAAGGTCTAGATGACTGAGTAAGGAATACATAAGTGTTATCAGAAATTACAGTCAACTAGTTCAGTTCAACAGTGAATAGAAAAACTAAGAAATAAGATTGACAAGGCAGTCTAGAGCCAGATTAGAATGTATAAGTTTAGACATTGTTACATACAGGCATGAGGAGCCACTAAAGGCGAGGTAACTGGGAAATCATGATGCAAGATGTGGTTTAGAATGCCGGATCTGGCCAGGTGTGGTGTTATGTGCCTGTAGTCCCAGCTTCTCCGGAGGCTGAGGCAGAAGGATTGTGCAAGCCCTGGAGATTGAGACCAGCCTGGAAAACACAGCAAAGTTCTGTATCTTTTTAAGACAATTATTTTAATTTAAAAAAAAAATTTAGCTGAATCTGATAACATTAAGTAAGTAGTTGGATTGAAGTGGGAAATTATCAGAGGGCTAGGGCAAGATAGCCTAGGAGAGGACAGCAGCGGTTAATAACTTAGTCCCCACGGTAAGTTTCCCCTTGCCTCTTCTTTGCTTTGCCCCTATCTGCTACTGGCCATGGGGACTGGCATAAGCTCTAAACCAGACAGATCACAATATTCTCCTTTCTCTGGGCACACTGACTGGTCTAAATCAATTTCCCAATTTAGGGCAGGAGAAACGATGGTCTTATCTTTTTGGGTCATAGTATACTAAGGACATGAGGCTAGGGTTACAGAGAGCATTTTCTTGGACCTTTTGCCAAAAGCCTGTCTGCAAGAAAATAGAATGAAGCCAAGGAGAGATAAGAGTGGATTCTAATGGGGTTATATCCTGTTTTGTAGTTCCTAAGGTCCTGGTTCCTGCAGGCCTTCCTGTAATTCTATAATGCTGTCTCAGCATCCTTCCCACCTAGAGACAACCCAAAATTCCATCAACTTTTCAAGATAGTTTAAGCTGTATTCCTATCATTTAGTACCAAGAGTCCTGACTAAAAGAGTATGGTAGCAGTGGGAACAGAAGATTGTAAAGGTAGACAATGTAAGGTAGAATACAGGTGGAGTAAGTGAGATTGGAAGTGAAAGAAAAATAAGCTGTCTTTCTTCATTAATATAAAAAATTACATGGTAAATATTACAACTTGCTGGTACATTAAAGATATTTCACATTATAATTCAATAAACATTTACTTAATATTTGCCTGTTTACCAGAGAGCAGGACCCCAAACCTCTGGCTATATCAGTCAATACAAATACAGGCTAGCCATGATGGCTCACACCTATAATCCAGCACTTTGGGAGGCTGAGGCAAGCAGATCACCTGTGGTCAGGAGTTCAAGACCAGTCTGGTCAACATGGAAAAACCCCATCTCTACTAACAATACAAAAATTAGCTGTGTGTGGTGGTGAGCACTTATAATCCCAGCTACTGGGGAGGCTGAGGCAGGAGAATCTCTTGAACCCAGGAGGCAAAGGTTGCAGTAAGCCAAGATTACACCACTGCACTTCAGCCTGGGCAACAGAGTGAGACTTCATCAAAAAAAAAAAAAAAAGAAAGAAAGAAAAAAAGACATACTATTATCTTATATAATATACTATAATTAAGTCAAATTATTTCTATTGGCACCTTACTTCATAATATCATGTCACAACTCAGGTGATTTGTATAATTCTTTTTTTTATTATTGTACTTTAGATTCTAGGCTCCATGTGCAGATCATGCAAGACTGCTGCATAGGTACATTCATGGCAAGATGGTTTGTTGCCACCATCCCCCCATCACCTGTACCTGACATTTCTCCCCATGTTATTCCTCCCCCACCTTCCCTCCCACTATCCTTCCCATAGCCCCCAACATGGACTCCAGTGTATGATGCTTCCCTCTTTGTGTCCAAGTGTTCTCATTGTTCAACACCCACCTATGAGTGAGAACATGTGGTGGTTGATTTTCTGTTCTTGTGTCAGTTTGCTAAGAATGATGGTTTCCAGGTTCATCCATGTCACTACAAAGAACACAAACTCATTGTATTTTATGGCTGCACAGTATTCCATGGTGTATATGTGCCATATTTTCTTTGTCCAGTCTATCATTGTTTTTCTCAAATAATATCAAGAGATTTCCATTCTGATATAATTTCATCTGGGACAGAAATTATTTTGGTTGGGTTCCAGTCAATAATATGTTGAACTAGGGTCAACTCATCCAAATTTATGACAATCAAAAATTAAATGAGAAACTGATTTTGATTTGGGTTCAAAGTCATCTATTTTCATTTAAGAAATATTTAAATAGCTACCATAAAACAGATATGGTTCACAGCACGCCACTTCCATCTACCGGTAGCCTAAGCTGACAGTCTGGTACTCATCCTTTATTATTCTCTCTCAAATCTTGAATCAGTGATTTTCAACACTGGCTGCACATTAGAATCCTAAAGTACAATTTTAAATATCAGTGCCCAGATATTATCCCAGAACTCTGATTTCTAGGAATTATAGAGTGAAGCCTAGGCATTTGTATTGTTTAAAAGTGATTCTAGCAGGTAACAAAGTGTTAAAAATGAATGTCTCTGGCAGTAAAATGAGTTCAAAAAAGAAAAAGAAAAAAAAGAGGCCAGGCACAGTGGCTCACACTTGTAATCCCAGCACTTTGGGAGGCCGAGACAGGCAGATCACAAGGTCAAGAGATCAAGACCATTCCAGCTAACACGGTGAAACTCCATCTCTACTAAACATATAAAAAATTAGCAGGGTGTGCTGGCATGCACCTGTATTCCCAGCTACTCAGAAGGCTGAGGTAGAAAAACCACTTGAACCCAGGGGGCAGAGGTTGCAGTTAGCTGAGACCGCACCCCTGCATTCAAGCCTGGGCAACAGAGCGAGACTGTCTCAAAATAAAAAAAAAAGAAAAGAAAAACAAAAGCCTGTAACTTTCAATTGTCAAGTTCTACTGATTGTGATATCTGAAATAATTCTCTAATAATATGTTCCCTCTGGTCCGTCCCTACTAACTGGTATAAGCCCTGACTATCTTGTACCTAAACATGGACTCCCTCAAGTCTATCTTCTATACTACCATCAAAGTTTTCTATCTAAAACATCAATATAGAATGCTGGCACTTGCTTGTTTAACGTTATTCCATGGCTGGCTATTACTTGCTTCAGTGGTGGTCAGGCAGGATGGTGTGAAGCACTCTCCTATGAGGTATGATATAAGTAGTACATAACACAGTTAGCAGTAGTAGTAGTATATGTATTGAAGTTTGTAAAAATTTTTATAAGCATAAATCAGAGCGTTTTTAAAGGTATCCTTATGTTAAACAATTACCCCCCTCATTTTAATCGTTTGCTTGAATGGAAGAAAAACAGAAAATTACAAACACAGGAACTCTGCATGGAAATATATCATGCATGTATGACTCTGTTAAATGTGTCGCAGAGGAATAAAAAATTGAAAACTGATAAACCAGAGCAGCGGTTCTCAACCAGGTAGTATTGCCTTCCCAAAGGCACCTGAGAAATAGTGGAGGCTACATTTGGTTTCACAGTGACTGGATGGAGGGAGTGCTGCTAGCATCTAGTGAGCAGGAGCTAGGGATGCTCGGCATGCTACAATGCCCAAGAAACAGGAGTTGGCAAGCTTTCTGTAAAAGGTGTAACCATCTGTTGCATATTCTTCCCTTTTGTGTCAAACTGTTTAAAAATACAAAACTATTCTTAGCTCATGGCTATATAAAAACATGCAGCGTGAACTATGGCCTGAAGTTTGCAGACCCCTGACCAAGAACATCCCACAGGACAGACCTGTCTCTCACGTGACTTTGCAATGTCCCATCTGACATTGTGTGGAAAAACCTGTTTATAACTACTTGAACCTAGAAATTATTTTGTTTTACATAAAAAAGTATTTTTTTCATGGTTTTAATAAATACCAAATTGTCCAGAAATGCAATTAATACAACTTGTACTTTCACTTGGTCAGAACTTTACACACAGGATGTTAAGTATTTTGAAAAATCTCTCAACTAAAACTAGGTTCTTGTTACATGAAAAAAAAAAGAAAAAGAAAAATCTCAGGCCGGGCATGGTGGCTCATGCCTGTAATCCCAGCACTTTGGGAGGCCAAGGTGGGCAGATCACCTGAGGTTGGGAGTTCAAGACCAGCCTGACCAACATGGAGAAACCCCATCTCTACTAAAAATACAAAAATTAGCCAGGCGTGGTGGCGCATGCCTGTAATCCCAGCTACTCAGGAGACTGAATCAGGAGAATCGCTTGAAGCCAGGAGGCAGAGGTTGTGATGAGCCAAGATCATACCATTGCACTCCAGCCTAGATAACAAGAACGAAACTCCATCTCAAAAAAAAAAAAAAAGAAAAAGAAAAAAAATCTCATTACCAGTGACAATACCATTTAAAATATCTTAGCTACCAATGTAACACATTTTATAAACCTGCATTTGTTGCTGTGCATTCACAGTAATTCTGTGTACAGGTACAAGCATCTTATAAATTCATTACATGTTCTAATGAAATAATGCTTAAACATTTATATTTTACAATATATATTTCAAATTATGTTTTTTAGATTTCTTATACTTTTCCTTTGTGTTACATTTATGACATATTAGAAATTATGTGTTAATTATAATTAGAAAACATTTACTATAAAAAAGAAACACTGGGCTAGATACGTTTGAGAACTACTGACCATCAAGTTCAAACTCTACACAACAGGTCCTGGCTTATCTTTTAGTGTGTATTTTAACAACCTCCTGCCTCCTACACTTAGACACTCAAACAGCACTAACCTGTTTGTACTTCCCCAACTAACAATCTCAATATGCTGCTTCTTTCTATGTACCTCTGTTGGTGCTATTCAAAATGTTCTGAAATGTCCTATCATCACCTTCACCAGATTAACTTCTATTCACCATTCAAGACTCAGTTCAAGTATGTCTTCCCCAATACTCTTCTCTCCTAGGAAGTGCCCCTTTCTCTTCCAAAAATGCCCTAATATCTCCATCCCTGCACTTAACTCAATGAAATGAACTTATGTTAAAAAGTCTATTTGACCCAACACAGTCTAAACTTTGAGGGCAGGGTCTATGTATCTCTGCAAATATAGCATCTAACACATTGAAGTAGAATTCATATTCCAACAAGCATTCATATTGTAACAATAACTTTTTAAATAAAAATTGTAAGTATTGCAGATCAACATTAAGTCCAGAATTATTTAAAGCTCCCAACTTATTGCTTTATAAAATTCTCTCACATACATTCACAAACCATAAACTTCATTCAGATAAGAGTAGAATATAATTCAGGGTGCTGATTTCTGTTTGCCAAATCTAGCCTAGCAAATTAGCATGGGCTCAGAGCACTGCCCGCCCACCCCCGCAAAAAAAAAAAAAAAAAAAAAAAAATTAGGCTAGGATACTAAAAGAAAAAGAAGAATGTGAATGAAAACTCAAAATGTATTTTATCACTTTTTTTTTCTTTTGAGATAGGATCTTACTCTCTCATCCAGGCTGGAGTGCAGTGACATGATCATGGCTCACTACAGCCTTGCCCTCCTGGACTCAAGCAATCCTCCCACCTCAGTCTTCCAAGTGGCTGGGACTAGAGGCATGTACCACCATGCCTGGCTAATCTTTTTTTTTTTTTCTGTAAAGACAGAGTGATATGGTTTGGCTCTGTGTCCCCAACCAAATCTCATCTTATAGCTCCCATTATCCCCATATGTTGTGGGAGGGAGCTAGTGGGTGATAACTGATTCATGGGGACGGGTCTTTCTTGTGCTGCTCTCATGATAGTGAATAAATCTCCTAAGATTTGACAGTTTTAAAAATGGGAGTTTCCCTACATGTACTCTTCTCTTGTCTGCCACCATGTAAGACATGTTTTTCACCTTCTGCCATGATTGTGAGCCTTCCCAGCTATCTGGAACTGTAAGTTCAATAAACCTCTTTGTTTTGTAAATCACCCAGTCTCGGGTATGTCTTCATCAGCAGCATGAAAACTGACTAATACACAGGAGCTCACTATGTTGCCCAGGCTGGTCTTGAACTCCTGGACTCAAGCAATCCTTCCACCTCAGCCTCCCCAAATACTGAGATTACGGATGTAAGGCAGTGTGCCCAGTCTCTGTATTATTTCTTGCAACTCCATGTCAAACTATAATTATCTCTAAATAAAGGCTTAATTTAAGGAAAAAAAAATACATAAGAATTTCTCTGACCTCTAGATTTAAATTCTAATTCTTCAACATTGTTTACAAGGTGAATCACAGTCAGACACCTTCTCCCCATCTCTAGTTTCATTTCTCTTCATATCCCCCTACCTCTTACAATCTTCCAATCATTTGTTCTTCCTACCATCTCTATTGAACTCCTTTTAGCTCCTAAGTGTGCATTCTATCTCTTTCCTCTTGGCCTTTGCCTATGCTGCTCTCTTTGCCCAGAAAATCTTAGTTGCTATTCCTTTATCCCCTTACCTTGTTGACACCACCTCTTTCTTCAGGCTTTGAAACAGATCTGTTTTTACATGAAGTCTTTCCTTAACTCCCAAATTTGGGACAGGAGCTTCTTTCTAGACTGCCTAGTAAACTAGTGGTATTTATTACAATGCAGGGTAACTGCCAGGCCTATATCTTGCTCCAAGGTCATTGTCCTCCTATTTAATATTTAATCCCCGAGGTCTACAAAACTGAGTAGCACATAGTAGGTGCTCTATAAATACATGTTGAAGGGACAGCAAAACTATGGAAGAGAGTGAAAAGATCAATTGCCTGCGTGTTGTGGTTCATGCCTGTAATCCCAGCACTTTGGAAGGTTGAGGTGGGTGGATCACTTGAGGTCAGGAGTTCGAGACCAGCCTGACCAACATGCTGAAACCTAATTTCTATCAAAAAGAAAACATTACAAAAAATTAGCCGGGCATGGTGGCATACACCTATAATCCCAGCTACTCAGGAGGCTGAGGCAGGAGAATCACTTGAACCCAGAAGGTGGAGATTACAGTGAGCCAAAATCGTGCCACTGCACTCCAGCTGGGTAACAGAGTGAGGCTCTATCTCAAAAAAACAAACAAACAAAAAATCAATAGTTACCAGGGTTTGGGGGTGGGTAAATGGAGGGATGAACAGGTGGATCCCAGAGATTTTTGGACAGTGAAACCACTCTGTATGATACTACATGGCAGTTGCTGTATTTGGCAGATGCATGTCATTATACGTATGTCAAAATCCATAGAAGTTACAATATCAAGCGTGAACCCTAAGATAAATTACAGACTTTGAGTAGTAAATATGTGCCAGTCTTGGTTCATTCATTGTTTAACAAATGTACTAGTCTAAGCCCTGGGGGGCCGAGCAAGATGGCCAAACAGAAGCCTCCACCAATTGTCCTGCCTGTCTCGCACCAAACATGACAACTATCTACATTAAAAAAGCACCTTCACAAGAACCAAAAATCGGGTGAGTGATCATAATACCTGGTTTTAACTTCACACTGCAGAACAACAAACTGAAGTGGGTAGGAAAGGCCCTTCAATTTCTGACACCACCCTTCCCCTATTTGCCAGCAGCAGTTGAGAGAATCTGTGCATTTGTGGGAGGGGGAGTGCAGCATTTGTGGAACTTTACATGGAACTCGGTACTGCCAACACCAGGCAGAACTCAGCCAATGTCCACAGAGGATGCATTTAGATTGGCTCTAGCCAGAGTGGGATTGCCCATCGCAGAAGTCAGAACTGTAGTTCAGAAAGCCTCACAGAAGGCTAAAGAGCTCTGGAGTCCTCAATAAACAAAAGGCACTCAAGGCCACAAGGACTGAAACTTATATGAAACTCGAAAAGCTGTGCTAGGATCAGAGCCTGTGAACTCAGGGGACACATGACCTAGTGAGACACCAGCTGGGGTAGCTAAGAGTATGCATGCATCACCCCTCTGCCAACCCCAGGCAGCACAGCTCACAGCTCCAAAAGAGACTCCTTCCTTCCACTTGAGGAGAGGAGAGAAAAGAGTAAAGACTTTGTTTTGCAATGTGGACACCAGCTCAGCCAAAGTAGGACAGCACACCAAGTAGAGTCCTGAAGGCCCCCCTCCAAGCCCTAGCTCCTGGACATTTTTAGACAAACACTGGGCCAGATGGGAACTGGCTGCCATAAGGGAAGGATCCACTCCTGGTGGGATTCATCACCTACTGAATAAAGGGCCTTTCAGCCCTGAATAATCAGCAGTGGTAACTAGGCAGAACATGCTATGAGCCTTGAGTAAGACCATGAAACATGCTGGCTTCAGGTGTGACCTACCATATTCCCAGCTATCATGGCTATGAGGAGATTCTCCTGTTTGAGAAAAGTAGAGAGAAAAAATAAAGGGGACTTTGTCTTCCAGCTTAGGTACCAGCTGTACCACAGTGGGGAAGAGCACCAAACAGACCCAGGGTCCTCAATTTCAGGTCTTAGCTCTTAGATGGCATTTCTGGACCTATCCTGGGACAGAGAGGAGCCAGCTGCCTGACAGGGTGAGTCACAGGTCTGGAAGCATTCACCACAAGCTGAATGAAAAGCGATTGGGCCTTAACTGAACACTGGCAGTACTTCCTATGCGTCTATAGTGGTGGCCCTCACAGGGAGAGGCTCTTCTGTCTGGGAGAAGAGGAGGAAAGAATGGGGAAGACTTTGTCTTGTGGTTTTGGTGCCAGCTTAGCTGCAGCAGAACAGAGCACCAGGTGGATTCCTAGGGTTTACAACTCCAGGCCCTGGCTCCCAGACAGCATCTCTGGAACCTACCAGGGCTCAGGAGAACTCACCTCCCTGAATGGAAAAACACAAGCCTGTCTGGCTTCACCATCTGCTGATTGTAGAGCCCAAGGCCTTGAACGGTAGCCAGGTAGTGGTTACAGTGGGCCTTAGGCAAGACCCAGTGCCATGCTCTCTTCAGGTCTGACCCAGCACAGTGCCAGTGGTAGTGGCCACAGGGGTCCTTGTGTCACCCATCCCTCAACTGCAGGCAGTCCAGCACAGAGAAAGAGACTCTGTTTGGGAAAAAGGGAAAAGAACACGAGTTTCTGCCTGGCAACATAGAGAATTCTTCCAGATATTATCTAAGACCACAAAGGTGGTACCTCTACAAGTCTGCAAGAACTTCAATAATGTTGGACCTGGGGTGTCCCTTAATGCAGATACAACTTAGATCACAACACCCCTGTCTTTTTAAATACCTAGAAAGCCTTCTCAAAGAAGACAAGTAAAAAGATGTACTAAATAGTGAAGACTATAATAAAAATCTACTTCTTCAATGACTAGACACTAACAAGCATCCATAAGCATCAAGACCATACAGGAAAACACAACCTCCCAAAATGAACTAAATAAAGCACCATGGGCCAATCACGGAGAGACAGAGACATGTGATCCTTAAGACAGAAAATTCAAAACAGCTGTTTTGAGGAAACTTGAAGAAATTCAAGAGAACATAGAGAAGTAATTCAAGCTGGGCGCGGTGGCTCAAGCCTGTAATCCCAGCACTTTGGGAGGCCGAGGTGGGTGGATCACGAGGTCAAGAGATTGAGACCATCCTGGTCAACAGCGTGAAACCCTGTCTCTACTAAAAATACAAAAAAAAAAAATAAGCTGGGCATGGTGGCGCGTGCCTGTATTCCCAGCTACTCAGGAGGCTGAGGCAGGAGAATTGCCTGAACCCAGGAGGTGGAGGTTGTGGTGAGCTGAGATTGCGCCATTGCACTCCAGCCTGGGTAACAAGAGTGAAACTCCGTCTCAAGAAAAAAAGAAGCAATTCAAAATTCTTTCAGATAAATTTAACAATGAAATGGAAATAAAAAGAATCAAAAGGAAATTCTGGAGTTTAAAAATGCAATTGACATAATGAAGAATGTATCAAAGAATCTTAAAAGACTTGATCAAGCAAAAGAAAGAATTAGTGAGCCTGAAGACAGGCTATTTGAAAATGCACAGTCAAAGGAAACAAAAGAGAAAAGAAAAGGAGGCTGAGCACGGTAGCTCTCGCCTGTAATCCTAGCACTTTGGGAAGCTAAGGCGGGAGGATTGCCTGAGCTCTGGAGTTCAAAACCAGCCTGGGCAACATGGTGAAACCCCATCTCTACTAAAAATACAAAAAATTAGCCAGGCATGGTGGCACGTGCCTGAAGTCCCAGATACTTGGGAGGCTGAGGCATAAGAATTGCTTGAACCCAGGAGGCCGAGGTTGCAGTAAGCTGAGATCATGCCAATGCTCTCCAGCCTGGGCGACAGAGCAAGATTCGCTCTCCAAAAAAAAAAAAAAAGAAAAGAAAAGAAAGAAAGAATGAAGCACACCTACAAGATTTAGAAAATAACCTCAAAAGGGCAACTCTAAGAGTTATTGGCCTTAAAAAGGAGGTAAGTAGAGACATAGGTGTAGAAAGTTTAGTAGCAGACAACATCCCCAACCTAGAGAAAGACACCAATATTAAAAAAGAAGGTTATAGAACATCAAGCAGATTTAACACAAAGAAGACTACCTCAAGGCATTTAATAATTATACTCCCGAAGGTCAGGATAAAGGATCCTAAAAGCAGCAAAAGAAAAGAAACAAAATAACATGCAATAGAGCTCCAATATGTCTGGCAGCAGGCTTCTCAGTGGAACGCTTACAACATCATGCCAGGTGAAATTGGCATATTTAAAGGCTGAAGGGGGGAAAAAAACCTTTATACCGGAATAGTTTATCTGGAGAAAATATCCACCAAACATGAAGAGAAAATAGATTTTCCAAGACAAACAAAAGCTGTGGGATTTCATCAACACCAGAGCTGTCCTATAAGAAATGCTAAAGGGAGTTCTTCAATCTGAAAGGAAAGGATGTTAATGAGCAAGAAATCATCTGAAGGTAGAAAATTGTCTGGTAATAGTAGGTATATGAAAAAACATAGAATATTATAATACTGTATTGGGATATGTAAATTACTCACACTGTGAGTAGAAAGACTAAAAGATGAACCGATCAAAAACAGTAACCACAACAACTTTTTAAGACAGAACAATAAAATAGAAAATAGAAACAAAAAACAGTTAAAAAGCAGGGAGACAAAGTTAAATTACAGAGTTTTTAGTAGTTTTCTTTTTTGCTTGTTTATGTATGCTATAAACGTTAAGTTGTCATCAGTTTAAAATATGGGGATATAAGATATTATTTGCAAGCTCATGGTAACTTCAAATCTAAAAACTGTGACATAAGAAATACACACACAAAAAAGATATTAAAACTTACCACCAAAGAAAATCACTTTCACTAAAAAGAAGAAAAGAAAGAAGAAAAGAAGGGAGAGAAGACCACAAAACTAGAAAACAAATAACAACGTGATATAAGTAAGTTCTTATTTATCAATAGTAACATTGAATGTAATGAACTAAACTCTCAAATCAAAAGACACAGAGTGGCTGAATGGATGAAAAAACAAGATTCAATGACCTATAGCCTAAAAGAAACACACTTCACCTATAAAGACAAACATAGGCTGAAAATAAAGGAATAGGAAAAGATATTCTAGGCAAATAGAAACCAAAATGGGCAGAAGTAGCTATACTTAGACAAAACAGATTTCAAGATAAAACTACAAAAGAGACAAAAAAGGTCATTATCTGATAAAAAAAAAAAAAAAAGCCAATTCAGCACAACTATATAACATATTTAAATATGCACCTGACACTGGAGCACCCAGATATATAAAGCAAATATTATTAGAGCTAAAGAGACATGTCCTAATACAATAATAGCTGGAAACTTCAACATTCCACTTTCAGCATTAGACAGATCATCTAGCCAAAACTCAACGAAGAAACATTTGACTTCATCTTCACTACAGACCAAATGGACCTAACAGATTTTACAGAACATTTCATCCAATGCTTACAGAATATATACTCTTTTCCTCAGCACATGAATCATTCTCCAGGACAGACCATACGTTAGGGTACAAGCTAAGTCTAAAAAACATTCAAAAATTGAAATAATATCAAGTATCTTCTTAAACCACAATGGAATAAAACTAGAAATCAGTAACAAGAGGAATTTTGGAAACTATACAAACATATGGAAAACAACATGCTGCTGAATGACCACTGGATCAAAAGAGAGATTAAGAAGAAAATTTAAAAATTTCTTGAAACAAACAATGATGGAAAAACAACATGTTGAGCGTGGAGGCTCACGCCTATAATCCCAGCACTTTGGGAAGCTAAAGTGGGTGGATCACCTGAGGTCAGGAGTTCGAGACCAACCTGGCCAACATGATGAAACCCCATCTCCACAACAAATACAAAACTTAGCCAGGTGTGGTAGCACAGGTCTGTAATTCCAGCCATTCAGGAGGCTGAGGTGGGTGAATTGCTTGAACCTGGGAGGTGGAGGTTATAGTGAGCCAAGATCGTGCCACTGTACTCCAGGGTGAAACAGACTCCGTCTCAAGAAACAACGTCAACAACAACAAACCAAAACCTATGGGCTACAGTGAAAGCAGTACTAAGGAGGAAGTTTATAGCTGTAAGTGCCCATGTCAAAAAGAGGAAAAACTTCAAATAAACAACTAAAGATACATCTAAAAGAATTAGAAAAGCAAGAGCAAACCAAACCTGAAGTCAGTAGAAGCAAAAGAATAATAAAGATCAGAGCAAAAATAAATGAAATTGAAATGAAGAAAACTATACCAAAGATCAACAAAATGCAGTTTTTTTGAAAAGATAAACAGGATTGACAAACCTTTAGCCAAATTAAGAAAACAGAAGATTCAAATAAATAAAATCAGAGATGAAAAAAGAAACATTACAACTGATACCAAAGATACCGAAGGATCATTAGAGGCTGCTATGAACAACCATATGCCAATAAATTGGACAATCTAGAAGAAATAAATAAATTCCTCAATATATACAACCAAACAAGACTCAACAATGAAGAAATCCAAAACCTGAACAGACTGCTAACAAGATCAACATGTATTAAAAGCCATGATAAAAAGTCTCCCAGCAAAGAGCCCAGGACCTGAGGGCTTTGCCGCTGATTTTTCCCAAACGTTTAAAGAAGAACTAATACCAATCCTACTCAAACTATTCCAAAAAATAGAGGAAGTAAAAATACTTCTAAATTTATTCTACAAGGCCGGTATTACCCTCATACCAAAACCAAAGATACATTAAAAAATTTAAAAAAGAAACCTACATGCCAATATCTCTGATGAACATTGATGCAAAACTCCTCAACAAAATACTAGTAAGCTGAATTCAATAATACCTTAAGATCATTCATCATGACCAAGTGGGATTTATCCCAGGAATGGTAGGATGGTTAAAAATACACAAATCAATCAATGTGAAACATCACATCAACATAATGAAGGATAAAAACATATGATCATTTAAACTGATGTTGAAAAAGCATTTGATAAAATTCAACATCCCTTCATGATGAAAACTGTCAAAAAACTGGGGATTAGATGGCTAGTGCTAACTGGAAAAAAGAAGGATAGAAAGAACATATCTTAATATAATAAAAGCCATATATGACAGACCCATAGCTAGTATCATACTGAATGGAGGCAAACTAAAAGACTTTCCTCTAAGATGTGGAACACCACAAATATGCTCACTTTCACCACAATTATTCAACATAATACTGAAAGTCTTGGCTAAAGCAATCAGACAAGAGAAAGAAATAAAGGGCATCCAAACTGGAAGGGAAGAAGTCACACCGTCCTTGTTTGCAGATGATATGATCTTGTATTTGGAAAAACCTACTCTACCAAAAAAAAAAAATCAGAACTGATATATTCAGTAAAGTTGCATGATACAAAATTAACATACAAAAATCAGTAGCATTTCTCTTTTTTTTTTTTTTTGAGATGGTGTCTTGCACTGTCACCCAGGCTGCAGTGGTGCAATCTCAGCTCACTGCAATCTCCACCTCCTGTGTTCAAGCAATTCTCCTGCCTCAGTCTCCCAAGTAGCTGGGACTACAGGCATATGCCACCACACTCAGCTAATTTTTTTGTAGTTTTAGCAGAGACAGGGTTTCACCATGTTGGCCAGGATGGTCTCGATCTCCTGACCTCGTGATCCACCCACGTCAGCCTCCCAAAGCACTGGGATTACAGGCATAAGCCACTGTGCCAGGCCAAAAATCAGTATTTCTATATGCCAAGAGTGAACAATCTGAAAAAGAAATCAAGAAAGTAATCCCATTTACAACAGCTACAAATAAAATTAAGTACCTAGGAATTATCTTAAACAAAGAAGTGAAAGCTCTCTATAATGAAAACTGTTTTAAAACAACTGTGAAAGAAATTGAAGACAACTCTAAAAAAAATGGAAAAATATTCCATGTTCACAGGTTGGAAGAATCAATACTGTTGAAATGTCCATACTAGCCAAAGCAATCTACAGATTAAATGCAATCCCTATCAAAATACCAATGACATTCTCTTCAAAGAAATAGAAAAAAAAATCCTAAAATTTGTAAGGAGGCACAAAAGACCCAGAATTGCCAAAGCTACCCTGAGCAAAAAGAACAAAACTGGTAGAATCACATTACCTGGCTTCAAATTATACTACAGAGCTGACATGGTTTGGCTGTGTCCCCACCCAAATCTCATCTTGAATTCCCATGTGTTATGGGAGGGACTCAATGGGAGGTAAATGAATCATGGAGGCAGGTCTTTCCCATGCTGTTCTCATAATAGTGAGTAAGTCTCATGAGAGCTGATGGTTTTGTAAAGGGAAGTTTCCCTGCACAAGCTCTCATTCTTCTTTTGTTTGCCATCCTATGAGATGTGCCTTTCACTTTCTGTCATGATTATAAGGCCTCCCAGCCATGTGGAACTGTAAGTCCATTAAAACCTCTTTTTCTTCCCAGTCTTTATCAGCAGTGTGAAAACAGACTAATACAGTAACCAAAAGAGCATGGTACTGGCATAAAAACAGATACACAGATTAGTGGAACAGAACAGAGGACCCAGAAATAAATCCATACATGTACGGTGAACTCATTTTTGACAAAAGTGCCAAAATGGAGAAAAGATAGTCTCTTCAATAAGTAGTGCTAGGCAAGATGGATATCAATAATGCAGAAGATCTGAAACTAGACCCTATCTCTCGCCATATAAAAAAATCAAATCAAAATGGATTAGAGACTTACATCTAAGACCTCAAACTATGAAACTACTACAAGAAAACAAACACTGGGGAAACTCCAGGCCATTGGACTGGGCGAAGATTCCTTGAGTAAATACTGCACAAGTACAGGTAACCAAAGCAAACGTGGACAAATGGGATCACATTAAGGCTTCTGCACAGCAAATGAAACAATCAACAAAGGGAAGAGACAATCCACAGAATGGGAGAAAATATTTGTAAACTATCGATCTGAGAAGAGAGTAATAACCAGGATATAAAGGGGTTCAAACAACTCTACAGGAAAAATCTAATAATCCAATTTAAAAACGGGCAAAAGATCGGAATAGACATTTCTCAAAAGAAATATGAAAGGCAAACAGATATATGAAAAGATGTTCAACATCACTGATCATCAGAGAAATGCAAATCAAAACTACAGTGAGATATCATCCCAGTTAAAATGTCTCATATTCAAAAGATAGGCAATAACAAATTCTGATGAGGATACAGAGAAAAGAGAACCCTTGTACATTGTTGGTGGGAAGGTAAATTAGTACAGCTACTACAGAAAACAGTTTGGAAGTTCCTCAAAAAACTAAAAATAGAGCTAGCATATAGTCCAGCAATCCCACTGCTAGGTATATACCCATAAGAAAGAAAATCAGGATATCGAAGAGATACCTGTACTTCCATGTTTATTGCAGCACTCGTCACAACAGCCAGGATCCAGAAGCAATCTAAGTGTCCATCAACAGACAAATGGATATAGAAAATATGGTGTTTATACACAATGGAGTACTATTCAGCTATAAAAAAGAATGAGCTCCGGGGCTGGGTGTGGTGGCTCACACCTGTAATCCCACCACTTTGGGAGGCCCAGGTGGGTGCAAAACCTGAAGTTAGGAGTTCAAGACCAGCCTGGTCAACATGGTGAAACACCACCTCTATTAAAAATACAAAAAAATTGGCCGGGCGTGGTGGCAGGGGCCTGTAATCCCAGCTCCTTGGGAGGCTGAGGCAGGAGAATCACTTTTTTTTTTTTTTTAGAGAGAGAGAGAGAGAAACAGGTGAAGGAGAGAGAAAGAAACAGCTAACTCTCACACTGAGTGAGATAATCCAGAAAGATGAAATCCAGGAGAAGAAAGCAGCTTCCACACTGACTGGAAGGGAATAGAGAGACACGGAGTTTAGGAGGGGAAGACAGGCTTCCACGAAGGTAGTGTTCATGGAAGGGGACTCCAGAGGGAAAATCCCAGGAGAATCACTTGAACCCAGGAAGCGGAGGTTGCAGTGAGCCGAGATGGTGCCATTGCACTCCAGCCTGGGGGACAAGAGCAAAACTCCATCTCAAAAAAAAAAAAGAAAGAAATGAGCTCCAGACATTTGCAACAACATCAATGGAACTGGAGGTCGTTATGTTAAGTGAAATAAGCTAGGCACAGAAAGACAAATATCATGTGTTCTCTCTCTCTCTCTTTTTTTTTTTTTTTTTCCAGAGACAGGGTTGCACTATTGCCCAGACTGGAATGTAGTGGCACGATCTTGGCTCAGGGCAATCTATGCCTCCTGGGCTCAAACAGTCCTCTCACCTTAGCCTCCTGAGTAACTGGGACTACAGGTACAGACCACCATACCCAGTTGATTATTATTATTACTTGAGATGAGGTCTTACTATGTTGCCCAGGCTGGTCTCAAACTCCTGAGCTCAACTGGTCCACTCACCTCGACTCCCAAAGTGCTGGGATTATATGCCTGGCCCATTTTCACTTATTTGTGGGAGATGGAAATTAAAACAATTAAACTCAGGGAGATACAGAGTAGACAGATGGTTACCAGAGGCTGGGAAGGATAGTGGGAGGTGGGGACAGGGGAAGTAGGGATCATTAATGGGTACAAAAATACAGAAAAAATGAGTAAGACCTAGTATTTGATAGCATGACAGGGTGGCTATAGTCAGCAATAATTTAATTGCATATTTTACAGTAACTAAAAGAGTATAACTGTTTGTAACACAAAGTCTAAATACTTGAGGTGATGGACACCCCATTTCCCCTGATGTGATTATTACACATTGTATGCCTGTATCAAAATATGCATCCACTTTTTAAAAAATTACAGCAAAAGTGATGCTATGCCAATTTTCTGGCTCAAGTCTTAAGAAACTGACAACTTTGCCTTTGTCTCTCTTAGAACCTAGGCACTATGCTGAAAACAGCTTATGGAGTGTCATGTCAAAAGAACTCCGGCCTTCACCCCTCAGTCTTGGCTGAGCTCACAGCCAATAGCAAGCATCAAATTGCCAGTCAGATGAATAAGACATGTTGGAAGTAGATCCTTCAGCCCCCAATCAGGCACACACCTTAGGGAAAGGAACTTTTCCTCTTAGCTCTGCCTAAAGTTCAGATTCAAGAGCTAAATTACTGTTGTTTTAAAATAAATAAATAGAATAAAACTCAAGATTATACCATTTTTTAGTAAACTGCTAATTAATTAACTGAAATTGGGAACTTAATATTTGAAGAAAAAAATCCTTGATATTAATCAGCCTCAAAGTCTGTCTTTTAGCCCTAAATAAGACCCCTAAAATTTCATATTTATACAACCAATAATTTATTCTTGCTGCTTGAAAAGAACAATATTTAAGGTTGGTACTAAAAATAAACCACAGAAAGTCAGTTCCTGATACTCTTTGGTAGGTAAAACATAGCTTTTTGCACTAAGCTTTTAGTTTATTACAGTGGTATTTCAAAATGAGGGCTTGGTGATTACAACAAACATACATGGATAAATGACATTTAGCAATAAATATACTTTCATACAATGTCAACTTTATTTATTTAGAAGCAGGGTTTCACTATGTTTCACAGACTGGTCTCAAACTCCTGGCCTAAAGTGATCCTCCTGCCTTAGCCTCTCAAAGTGCTGGGACTATATGGAATGATCCACCATGCGTGGCCCAATGTCAACTTTTTTTTTTGGAGACAGAGTCTCCCTCTGTTGTCCAGGCTGGAGTGCAGTGGCGCTATCCGGCTGAATGCAAGCTCTGCCTCTCAGGTTCAAGTGATTTTTGAGCCTCAGCCTCCCTAGTAGCTGGGATTACAGGCACACACCACCATGCCCGGCTAATTTTTGTATTTTTAGTAGAGATGGGGTTTCACCATGTGGGTCAGACTGGTCTCGAACTCTAGGCCTCAACTGATCTGCCTGCTGCAGCCTCCCAAAGTGCTGGGATTACAGGCATGAGCCACCAAACCGGGCCCAATGTCAACTTTAATATCAGAGCAAAATAAGTCTATATTTTTCCCTAGTAGTAATACATCAATAATACAGATGAAATACCTCTACAAAAAAGAAACTATAGAATACCCTCAGAAACAATTGGGTTCCAAATGCATTTTAAAAAATTAGCAGACTTTATTTTTTACAGCAGCTTTAGGTTCATAACAAAACTGAGCCCAAAACTACAGAGTTCCAAAAGACCCTCCCAAACACATGCAAACACAGCTTACCCCACCATTAATATTCCACATCACTGTGGTACATTTGTTATAATTGATGAACCAATACTGACACATCATTATCTACCAAAGTCTATAATTTATATTATGGTTTACTACTAAAAATCCTGTGCTCCACATCTTCATCTCTCCCTTTTTCCCCCACCATAGTACATAAATGTTACTTAGATTTAGTTGATTAATCATCCTGTTTGGTTCAGCTATATCCTTGGTGACTTTTTCCTGCTGGATTTGTTCATTACTGATAGGAGTGCTGAAGACTTCAACTATAAATAGAGGATTCATCTATTTCTCCTTGCAGTTCTATCTATTTTTGCCTAAGATATTCTAACGGTCGTTGTTAAGTATACACTAAAGACATGTTTTATTGGAGGAACTGACCTCTTTATCATTGTGTAATACTCTTCTTTATCCCTAATAACTTTTCTTGCTCTGAAGTCTGTTCAGTCTGAAATTAATATACCTACTCCCACTTTCACTTGATTAGTGTCAGCATGGTATATCTTTATCTTTTTTATATTTTGTTCTTTATATTTAAAATGGGTTTTTTATAGAAAACATAAAGTTAGGCATTTGTCTTTTCATTCACTCTAACATTATGCATTTTTTTTAGTTACTCTATTAACTGACTTATTTTCCTTTTTTTTAAAGCTACACTAGCAGGCATTTTAACTGGTATAAAACATATGAGATGCAAAAACCAATAGAAATGCAAAGAAAAATACACAAATCCACTTTTATAGTTGGAGAATTCCATACCCCTCTATCAGTAATTGACAGATCTAGTAGGCAGAACACAGCTGAAATGAATACCACTACTAATCACCTGGATCTAATTCATATCTACAGAATACTTCATCCAACAGTAGCAGAAGATGCATTCTTCTCAACCTTACACAGAACAATGACCAAGACAGATCACATTCTGGGCCATAAAACACAATTATGAAAGAACAGAAATCATACAAAGTATGCTCTTAAACCTCAATGAAATTAAACTAGAAATCAATAACAGAAAGATGGCTGAAAAACCCCACAATACTTGGAGATTAAACAACACTTTTTAAAATAATATACAGGTCAAAGAAGAAGTGTAGAGAAATTTTTAAATATTTTAAACTAAATAAAATGAAAATACAACCTATCTAAATTATAAAATGCATCAAAAGCAGTGCTTATAAAGAAATTTATAGAAAGATCATATAAGAAAAATCATGTAATTGTATCAACAGATGCAGAAAAAGCAACATCAAATGCTGACAAAGATGTGGAACAACAGGAACTTTCATCCATTGCTGGTGGGAGTGGAAAGGGAATAGCCACTTCGGATAAAATTTTGACAGTTTCTTAAGAAACCAAATATACTCTTACCATGTGCATACAATCTAGCAATTGCTCTACTTGGTACCACCCCAAATGAGTTAAAAAATTACAGCCACACAAAAACATGTACATGGTTTTTTATAGTAGTTTTATTCATAATTGCCAAAAGTTAGGAACCAAAATGTCTTCCAGTGGGAGGACATTATATAGTCAAATAAAACTGGAGTATATCCAGACAAAGAAATATTATTTAGTACTAAAAAGAAATGAGCTTGTCTAAGAGCTCCCAAGGAGGAAAATTAAGAGTCAAATAATTAAAATACAAAAAAAAAAAAAAAAGAAAGAAATTAGCTATCAAGCCATGAAAGGCCAGGAAAGAACCTTAAATGCGTATAATTCAGTGAAAGAAGCTACTCTAAAAAGGCTATATATCACACAATTCCACCTAGATGATTATACAGAAAAGGCAAAACTGTGAAGATGGTAAAGAGACCAGTGATGCCAGAGGTTCAGGAAGGAGGAGGAAGGGAAAGATAAATAGCTTAAGCACAGAGTGACCCTAATGTAAACAACAGACCTTAATTAATAACAACATATCAATATTGGGGCCTCCATTATAATTAATCTACCACACTAATGCAAGATATTAATAGGGGAAATTGTGCAAGGCGGAGGAAGGCGAGAGCGTTTATGGGAACTCTTTGTATTTTCCATTCAGTTTTTCTATAAACCCAAAATTGCTCTAAAAAATGTCTATTTAAAAAAATGATTAATAAGTACAATATACAAGAATTTCACAGATACTAAGCTAAATCAAAGAAGTCAGATACAGAGCATCTGTATAATTCCATAGTCCTCTCTCTGTTGCCCAGGCTAGAATGCAGTGGATCACTGCAACCTCTTTCTCCTGGGTTCCAGCAATTCTCGTGCCTCAGACTCCTGAGTAACTGAGCTGGGATTACAGTCAAATGCCACCACACCTGACTAATTTTTGCATTTTTAGTAGAGACAGGGTTTCACCATGTTGGCCAAGCTGGTCTTGAACTCCTGACCTCAAGTGATCTGCCCACCTCAGCCTCCCAAGTGCTGGGACTACAGGCATGAGCCACCGTGCCCAGCCTCATTATATGAAGTTCTAGAGTGAATAAAACTAACCTAGGAGAACAGAAATCAGAACAGTACTTACTTAGAGGCAGTGGTGGGGGTTGACTGGGAAGGGACACAAGGGAATTTTCTGGGGTGTTGATAGGATGATGGGATGATAGGTGTATGGATTATATAGATATACACATTTTAAAACTCAAATGGAAGACTTAAATACTATCATATACAAATGACACTTGATTTTTTAAATAGCAAAAAATAAAAATAACCCCTTACATGAAAAATACGATTCTTTAAATTCAGATTAAAGACTGAGATTTTGCAAAGCAAAAAACATACTGACATACTGCATACTACTACATACTGACATACTACTGACATACAAAGCATACTACAAAGCATACTACTAACAAAATAGCAGCATGAAAAAATACGTAAGGAACTCCTTCAAACTGTAAAACAACAACATAAAAACCTGACCAAAAACATGAACAGACAATTCAAAGAGGAGGAAACCTAATGATAAATAAGTGAAAATATTTATTAGTTCAAGCTAACTAATAATCAAGACAATGACAATTAATACCATTTCCCCTTCATTATACTGGCAAAAATAAAATGCTCCACAGTAGTAAATACTGTTTCTCAATATCCTCATCAGCATCTCTCAAATACTGTTGTTGGAAATGTAACATTTTCAAGATTATCTACTAATTTTTGGCATTATCTATAAAAAGTTAAGATTTATATATTTTAAAACAGAATGACTCCTCTGCAACATAAAAACCTTAGAGGAACTCTTGTATCTAGGGACTAGGAGTTCCCATACAAAATGGTTATTGAAGCAATGTTGGTAACAGCAACAAATTAGAATCAACCTAAATGACCAAAACAAAAAATTGAATAGTGACAGCCAAACAATGGACTAGAATACAGTAAACAAATCAGAACTGTACCTATCAGCATGGATAAAGCACAAACACCCAAGTTGAATAATAACAAGCAAATTGCAGACAAATACATAAAGTAGTATGCTATTTATATGAAATTGTGTAAGGGCCAGTCGTGGTGGCTCACACATGTAATCCCAACACTTTGGGAGGCCACGGTGTCCGTATCACTTGGGGTCCGGAGTTTGAGACCAGCCTGGCCAACATGGTGAAACCCAGTCTCTACTAAAACAAACAAACAACAACAAAAAGAAATTTTGTAAGATAAAAATACTATAAACACATATGTAACAAATACGCAAAATTATGCATGAGATTGATAAGCACTTAATTCATGACAGTTTTGAGGAGTGCTGACCAGGTATTTTGTAGAAGGTCCCTCAGTTGAGATTTGCCTGATGTTTGCTTCCTGGTTAGACTAAGGTTATATGTTTTGGGGAGACAGAACACAGAGATAAAGTGCCATTCTCCTCCTACCATATCAAGGGTATGTGCTATCAACATGGTTTGTGGTTGTTAATGTTAATCTTCATCACCTAGCTGAGGTAGTGCCTGTCAGGTTTTTCTGCTGTAAAATTGCTTTTCTTTTCCCCTTTCAGCACCCTACTTCCTAGCACAACCCACCCTTAAGAATAGGGAGTTATGTACCACCTCCTTGGAGGCAAATTATCTACATAAATTATTTGAAACTATTCTGTACAGGTCTATAATATATTAAAATAAGCAAAAATGATCTGAGGCTTCTTGCTTCCCACCTCCATACAAAAAGGAAAAGAAAAATAGTAGCAGCAGTATAATTAGAGATTTTTATTTTCTTCATTTTTCATCATTCCCCAAATTTTCTTTAATGAGAATTTTCTACTCAGATAATGAGATTTGTCTAATTAAACTGTGTCTACGATTATAATAATCTTAGAATTACCTCTCCCTCCAATTTTTTTTTTTTTTTTGAGACAGGGTCTCACTCTGTCACCCAGGCTGGAGTACAGTGGCACAATCTCTGCTCACCACAACCTCTGCCTCCTGGGCTCAAGCAATCTTCTTACCTTAGCCTCCTGAGCAGCTGGAACTAAAGACATCTGCCACCTTGCTTGGCTAAATTTTAAAAATTGTTTAGATGAAGTCTCACTATATTGCCAAGGTTGGTCTTGAACTCCTGGATTCAAGCAATCCTCCTGCCTTGGCCTCCCAAAGTGCTGGGATTACAGGCATGAACCACTGCTCCTGGCCTCTCTCCAATTTTACTCCATATCAAAAGAGTAAAGAAAACTTGCTGATATAATAAATTTAGCTTACTTTGAAAAATCTTGGTTCTTATGATCAAGAATAAATACTGGGAGCTGAGCACAGTGACCTACACCTATAATCCCAGCACTTAGGGAGTCCAAGGCAAAAGGATCACTTGAACCCAGGAGATCAAGACTGGCCTGGACAATATAGTAAAACTCTGAAACTCTGTCTCTACAAAAAAATACAAAAATTAATCGGGCATAGTGGCACATGCCTGTAGTCCCAGATACTCAGGAGGCTGAGGTGGAAGGACTGCTTGAGCCCAGGAGGTTGAGGCCACAGTGAGCTGTGACTGCACCACTGCACTCCAGCCTGGGCAACAGAGACTGTCAAAAACAGACAAACAAACAAACAAAAAACACCAAAAAATACTGGGGACATGAATTCTATGACTAAAAGGCAATAATTCTTAAATGTACAATAAGAGATAAATTAATGCAGCCTAATAACTTGTAGCTTTTAACAAACTAGATAAAATATTGTCAAAGACAAATAATGACCTCTAGAATATCTCATTCACCCAAATATAAGACAACCTTGAGTTTAAGTAATCCGATTTTCCAAGAAAGAAAACAAATTGTACAAAATACTCTTTATCTATTTTTTAATTTAATTTTTTTCTGAAATCGCCAAAAACCAGAGGAAATACTCTTATCATGGACAGTATTTCTAGTAAGTCATATACTATTCACAGGCCTTCTGCACCTGTGAATTCCACATCTAAGAATTCAACCATCTGAGGGTCAAAAATATTCAAAATAAAAATCTGTGTCTATAATGAACATGTACCAACTTTTTTTCTTATCATTATTCCCTAAACAATACAGTATAACAAGTATTTACATAGCATTTATTGTTTTAGATATTATAAATAATCCAGAGATGATTTAAAGTATATGGGAGACTGTATGTAGGTTATATGCAAATACCACACTATCTTATATCAGAGACTTGAGCATCTGGGGATTTTGGAGTTCTTAGAACTAATTCCCCACAGATACCAAGGGAAAACTGTATCCTTTCTAACACTGTTTTTAAAATGCAGAAAACTCTTATCCAAAGATAACAGGTTTAACATTATTCTTTTTTTTTTTTTTTTTTTTTTTTTTTGAGACAGCGTTTCACTCTTGTTGCCCAGGCTGGAGTGAAGTGGTGCCATCTGGGCTCACTGCAACCTCTACATCCTGGGTTCAAGTGATTCTCCTCCCTCAGCCTCCTAAGTAACTAGGATTACAGGTGCCCACCACCACACCTGGCTAATTTTTTGTATTTTTACTAGACAGGGTTTCATCATGTTGGCCAGACTGGTCTTGACCTCCTGACTTCAGGTGATCTACCAGCCTCAGCCTCCCAAAGTGCTGGGATTACAGGTGTGAGCCACCACGCCTGGCATTATCATTATTCTC